CCGCAGGGTGTGTGTGTGTGTGACGCCGCAGGGTGTGTGTGTGTGTGTGACACCGCAGCCTGTTCTGAGCAGCTCTGGGCTCCTGGCCTCACTGGCACAGCAAGCCCTTAGCCCTCCATCCACCCCAGGAAGTACACGTTCTCCCTGGTTGATGGGCAAGAGAATGGAGAACCAGAGTCTAAATCACGGCTGATTCTTTTCTTTTTTTGAGATTGAGCTTTTCTGTGTTGCCCAGGCTGGAGTGCAGTGGCGCGCTTTCTGCTCACGGCACCCGCCTCCTCCCAGGTTCGAGCCATTCTCCGGCCTCAGCTTCTTCAGTAGCTGGGATGACAGGCGTGCACCCTCATGCCCAGTTCATATTTTTGTATTTTTAGTAGAGACGGGGTTTTGCCATGTTGGTCAGGCTGGTTTTGCACTTTTGACCTTAAATGATCCACCTGCCTCAGGCTCCCAAAGTGCTGGGATTATAGGCGTGAGCCACCACTCCTGGCCATGATTCTTAAAAATAGGCCAGGTATGATAGTTCACTGCTACAATCCCAGCAATTTGGGAGGCAGAGGCAGGAGGATTGCTTGAAGCCAGGATTTTGAGACCAGCCTAGGCATTAGACGGCGACTCTGTCTATAAAATTTTTTTTAAAAATTCACTGGGTGGGGCCGGGCGCGGTGGCTCAAGCCTGTAATCCCAGCACTTTGGGAGGCTGAGGGGGGGTGGATCACGAGGTCAAGAGATCGAGACCATCCTGGTCAACATGGTGAAACCCCGTCTCTACTAAAAATACAAAAATTAGCTGGGCATGGTGGCGCGCGCCTGTAATCCCAGCTACTCGGGAGGCTGAGGCAGGAGAATTGCCTGAACCCAGGAGGTGGAGGTTGCGGTGAGCCGAGATCGCGCCATTGCACTCCAGCCTGGGTAACAAGAGCGAAACTCCGTCTCAAAAAAAAAAAAAAAGAAAAGAAAAAAAATTCACTGGGTGTGGTGGCACACACCTAGAGTCCCAGCTACATGGGAGGCTGATATGGAAGGACCCCTTTGGGCTGCATTAGCTGTGATCAAACCACCGCACTTCATCTTGCCTGGCAGAGCAACACCGTCTCCAAAAAAAACCCAAAACAAAGTAATAATGATAAGTTGTAAGCAGTATTTATTGGGTGCTTACTGTGTCCTGGGCAGTGCTCTCTGAACTTAGTATTTTACAATAACCCTGTATGGTACTATTGTCATCTGCATTTGAGACAGAGAGAATGGAAGCAGAGAAAGATTTACCCGTTTACCCAAGGTCACAGGGCCGGGAACTGGAAGACCTGGGATTCGGGTTGGGCGTGTCTATCTTATTACCATAAACAATTGCCATCATCAGTCAGAATCTTTTTTTTTTGAGATGAAGTCTTGCTGTGTTGCCCAGGCTGGAGTGCAGCGGCGCCGTTTCGGCTCACTGCGACCTCCGCCTCCAGGGTTCAAGCGATTCTCCCTCCTCAGCCTCCTGAGTAGCTGGGATTACAGGTGTGCACTACCACGCCTGGCTGATTTTTGTATTTTTAGTAGAGATAGGGTTTCACCATATTGGTCAGGCTGGTCTCAAACTCCTGACCTCATGATCCGCCCGCCTCGGCCTCCCAAAGTGCTGGATTACAGACGTGAGCCACTGTGCCTGGCCTTTTGTTTTTGTTTTGAGATGGAGTATCACTCTGTCACCCAAGCTGGAGGGCAGTGGCTCAGTCTTGGCCCACTGCAGCCTCCACCTCCTGGGTTCGGGTGATTCTCCTGCCTCAGCCTCCCAAGAGCTGGGATTACAGGTGCCTGCCACCACGCCTGGCTACTTTTTGTATTTTTGGTAGAGACAGTTTCCTCATGTTGCCCAGGCTGGTCTCAAACTCTTCACCTAAGGTGATCCGCCTTCTAGGCCTCCCAAAGCACTGGGATTACAGGTGTGAGCCACCACTCTGGCCTTTCAGACAGAATCTATTTTGGCTGTAAGAGACAGAAACCTCCTGCCCAATAACAGGGGTGGGAATACCGTATTTCTCTCACTCAAGTGAAGCCTGGCTGTGAGCCTCAGGGCTCAGGCGGAGTCCCCTGCGGTCCTGTCACTGCCATCCTCATGCCTTGCTTTTATGTCACAGCACAGTGTGGCTGCTCCAGCCCCAGCCTTTACATCTGCATCCCACGTAGCAACATGTGGGAACGGCTGGAGAGGGGCAGCCTCTACCCTTAATGACAAGTCTTGGCCGGGGGCAGTGTCTCATGCCTGTAATCCCAGCACCGTGAGAGCCTAAGGCAAGTGGATCTCAAGGTCAGGAGTTGGAGACGAGCCTGGCCAAGATGGTGAAACTCCGTCTCTACTAAAAATACAAAAATTAGCTGGGCATGGTGGCGGGTGCCGATAATCCCAGCTACTTGGGAGGCTGAGGCAGAGAATTGCTTGAACTTGGGAAGTGGAGGTTGTAGTGAGCCGAGATCGCACCACTGCACTCCAGCCTGGGGTGACAGAGCGAGACTCTGTCTCAAAAAAAAAAAGACAAGTCTCAGAAGCCTTTCTTTTCTTTTTTCTCATATATGCGCACACACCTATACACATGCATACATATATACATGCACATCTATACATACATACACATATACACATACCTACATACACACACACACACACGTACAGCTAGTGCTCGACTTACGACCACGATTGGGTCCGACAGGCTGGTCGTAACACGATTTGGTCGTAAGTTGAGTAGGCTATACGCACGCGGAGATGGTAGCGCTGCTGGAAGCTGGTCCGCACTGTCGTACGCCCAGTTGGGCAGCATTTGCGCTGCCAGACGCGGAGCAGTCGTGGCTAGCGACTGTGGTCGTAAAGTCAAATGGTCGTAAGTTGCATAGGTTGTAAGTCGATCAATACCTGTATACGTATGTTACATTCAGTAGAGATCGGTTCTCACTGCATTGAGCCTGGCCTGATGTGGTCCTGCTTCGGCCTTCCAAAGTGCTGGGATTATAGGTGTGAGCTACCACGCCTGGCCCATCACTGTTATTATCAGATAGCCCTGATTCAGACTCTGCTTCTCCATGTTCTTGCCTGTATGTTAGGGAGAACGCCTACTTCCTGGGGTGGGTGGGAGGGCTGAGGACTTGTGTGTGTCAGTGAAGCCAGGAGCTCAGAGCTGCTCAGAGCTGCCTGATCTTGTCAAGCCCAGGGGCTCAGAACACAGTCACATTACCAGGTCTATTTGGAGGGGAGGCTGGGAAATTACGTGACAAACAGAAATGAGGCACCCCATTCAGGAAGGAGGAGGCGTGATGTCGGATGGCCTGACTCCTCCTGTGTCCTGGGTGCTCCCTGGGAGACTGGGGAGGTGCTGGCATCAGGTGGCCGCCTCTGACTCCGCGACCCACCCAGAGTCATCAGGTTAATAAGAGCAAGAGGTGGGACTGAGGGCACGCCCCCTCTGTATGCCCAGCACCTCCCTGTTTTGCTCCGGGGTCAGCCTGTCAGTGGGTGCTGGGTCCTTCCACCCACACTCCTGCCCCACAGGTGCAGCAGGCAGGACTGGTCCCATAGGTGGGGTGGCATCTTGCCCAGTGGGAGGGTAGGCTTGTGGGGTTGGGGTGGCCTCCATGTCCCACTGCCAGTGAGGCAATTTGAATCCCAGCTCTCCGACGCCACAGCGTGACCCTGAGCAGGGCTTTCTCCTCTGGGCTCAGCTCTCTTTCTTTTGGGAGAAGGGACAGAGGATAAATCATCGGATTGTTTTTTGTAATTGTGAATTATTTCAGACTGTAGCAAGTACAGTGGGAGTGTAACCAGTACTGATGCCCTTACGGAAGACTTCCTGTAGCATCAGCAAACCTTACTGCGAGCTTGTTTTGTGCAGTCTCTGTAGCTCATTTCACCCTCACCATGGCCCATTACGGATGGGGAAATGGAGGCAGAGAGGCTAAGCAGCGTGGCCCAGGAAGCTGATTGGGAGGGCGGCATGCAAACTGCTTCCACTCCCACCCAACCAAAGTGGCTTCCTCCCTGCCAGGAGCCCTCAGTCCTGTGTGCTCTGCAGTTTTTCTGAGCCTGAGGGCCGGGAAGGAGCCGTTCTTGACGCTCAGCTTCTGCCCCGTGGAGAACTAGCCCTTCCTGACTGTTTCCTGGGGCTCTGGAGGCACGGAGCCGGCGGCCTGACTGGGGTTGTGTCACAGAACCAGGCCAGAGAGCCTGGATGCGTGTGTGGGGCTTCTCCCAAGATCCCCTTCCTGGGCATGGGGAAGGTGGGCGCTGCTCACCCACATGTGGCCGAGCAGGAATGGGCCTTGGCACTGTCCCCAAGTATATCCAACCCTGAGCTCTGAGACAGGGGCTGCGGTTTTGGGGTGCTCTGACAGGAAAGCAGCAATTTCGGTTGGGGCCCAGGAAGGAGCAGCCGTTTCTGGGAGGTCTGTCTCACGGGAGCAGGTGGATAGCTGGACCGGGGCTGAGTGAGTGTCTGGGGCTGAGGCCGGAGAGGATTCCATAGTAGCTCTAGGGCTGGGACTCTTCAGCGTCTGGGGCCGGAGGACCCTGTGCTGGGAGGCAGGAGCTGGGCGCGTCAGGTGGGCCACGTGACTGTCCCCTATTGTGGAATTCTTATTGTCACTGTGAGCTCTTCCCAAGGTGACACCGCCAATGGGGCCTGGGCGGGGCACCTGAGGTGTTTCAGGAAGAGGCTGAGATGGAGGCTGTGTGGTTTGAGGCCCACGTCACCCCAGAAACCCCAATGTGGTTGGGCAGAGGAGGTGGTCTGTGGTGAGCCTGGTACCTGGGGACTCATCCTGGCCCTGCCTGACCCTCAGGTGGAATGCTATGGAATATGATGAGAAGCTGGCCCGCTTCCGGCAGGCCCACCTCAACCCCTTCAACAAGCAGTCAGGACCGAGACAGCATGAGCAGCGCCCTGGAGAGGAGGCCCCGGACGCCACACCTGAAGGTGGGTGCTGGCGGGAGTTGGGGTGGGAGCTGGGAAGGTCTCCGGCCACTTATGTGGACGCCCATTCTTCCTGCTGCCTCCTGTGCGGTCCTGTCTTTCCCACGGAGCCGACACCTGCTTGTTCCCACCTGTTCTGTGGTTCTGTGGTTTGTTTCTGTGTGCCCACTAGAATTCACACTCCTGACAGCAGGATTTGTGCCTGACTCATCACTGTTGCATCCTAGGGCCCCGCACACAGTAGGTGCTCAGGGAACGCTGGCTGAGTGAGCTTGGCACTGAGGGAGAGGTTAGCCGATTGGCTGTGCTCTTGGCATCAGGATGGCGTCAGCCCCAGAAACTGCAGATGAGGTCATCAGGGAGTGCCGGGGCGGGGCAGCCGCAGGGACGGGCTGGCGTGGGCCCTGGCGTTCGTGGATTTTGCCGTGTAGCCAGCCGTGGTTTTTCTGTCATCCCCACGTTTATACATGAGGTGTCCGCCTTGGGAATGGGGATGTTTCTGTAATGCCATCTTGAGACCCTTTTAGCCCCGAGTATCATTCCACCTTCTCTTCTCGAATGGCTCTTTCCTGTCTGCATGAGAAGTGGATGTGCAGGTCTGAGTGGGGCCCAGATCCCCCAGTGCCTGCTCTCTCTGCGGCTTCCTGAATCCCTTTCCCTCTCCTGCTGTCCCAGCTCCTGCCTGGGGGACGGCAGACAGGAGGCAGCAGCTGACCCTCCACACCTGTCCCCGTCTTCCCCCAGAGGCCCTGCCGGAGCTGCCCCCTGCGGAGCCAGAGTTCCGCTGCGCTGAGCGCGTGATGGATCTCGGCCTGTCTGAAGACCACTTCTCCCGCCCTGTGGTAGGTTATTCGGATGTGGGAGGGGAGAGGGACTGAGTGAGCCCTCAGGAAGGGCCAGCGGTTTCCTTGTCACTTGCTCCCAGGTGGCAGGGCAGCATCCTATGAGCTGGGGTGCAGCCCCCACCTCAGCCAGGGCCCCCGGCTTCGAATCTGAGGCCTGTGACACCCCAGACCCCCACCCTCAGAGCCCGTGTGAGGCAGGTGGAGAGCCTGGATTGTGGTTCCTGAACCTGGGGCTGCTCCTCTCCCCTGAGCTCCTTGTCTTCACAAAGCAAATATGAGAGTCGGTTCCCTCTGGGGTCCTCGGGGTCCTGCAGACCCCGGTGCCAAGGGAAAGGGGGTGCAGGAGGTAAGGGAGAAGCCCCTGCCTGCCTCCTCCTGATTGGTCGGCGTCACAGGGCCCTTTGCTTGTGTTTCCTTCCTTGGGAGCCTTGCTTTGAAGAAGAAAGTGGGAGCCTATAAGGATTTTTTTTTTTTTTTTTTTAACAAAGATGGGGTTTCACCATGATGGCTAGGCTGGTCTTGAACTCCTGACCTCAGGTGATCCACCCACCTTGGCCTCCCAAAGTGCTAGGATTACAGGCGTGAGCCACCGCGCCTGGCGGCTGTAAGGATTTTTAAAAAATCCTTTGAAAACCTTTTTTGCAAACTGTCTCCAACTTTTGAGAGAAACATTGTAACAACATTAAAATGTAACTGAAAAGATTTGGTCAGAACCTCCCCGTTCTAATTCACTGTTCGTTTTGTGCGTGGCCTTTAAGCTTTGCCCATGTAGAAGGGCTTCATGTATGTGTTTCGTATTTTTGTTTGTTTATTTATTTTTCTTTTCCTTCAATCCAATCAAGTTGAGTATCTTTTTTTTTTCTCTTTTTTTGAGATAGGGTCTTACTCTGTGGCCCGGCTCTGGCGCGATTGTGGCTCACTGCAGCCTCGACCTCCTGGGCTCAAGCGATGCTCTCACCTCAGCTTCCTGATTAGCTGAGACGGCAGGTGTGCACTACAATGCTCAGATAATTTTTAAACTTTTTGTACAGACATGGGGTCTCGCTTTGTTGCCCAGGCTGCTCTCAAGCTCCTGAGCTCAAGCAATCCCCCCACCGCGGCCTCCCAAACTGCTGGGATTACAGGTGTGACCCACTGTGCTCAGCTTGTTTTATTTACTTCGACATTTTGAGCACTTGCTTTGGGGCCACAGACTGGGAGAGAGGAGGGTGCCCCCTCCTCTTTGCCTGGGCCTCAGAGCCCAGCAGCCTGGAGGAGGAGCAGGCTCCTGAGGGCAGGGTCAGCCTGGGCTCCCCAGCTCCGAGACCCCATCTTGTCTTCCCCAGGAGCACCAGAGTGTTCTGAGTCCGGGGTCTTGCTGGGCCCTGAGGGGCCCCCTGGCCGCTATGTGGAGAGAGCAGCTGGAAGTGCTGGGGTGTTGGCACCTGCCTGGGCTTGGCAGCTAAGCTTGAGGCTACTTACTGTCCTTCGTAACAGCAAATGCCATTTCCCTGGCCTTCCTCCAAGAGGAGGCTCAAGAAGTGACCAAAATGACATAGCGGAAAAAGCAACTGGATTTCTAAAGAAGGAAGTTGTCTTTTGAAAAGCATCTTTCACACATTAGGTTTTCAGGGGGGAGCAGGTGCACGGGGTGGCCCTTGAGTGAGTCCTTGCGGCCCTCTGCTTCAGTTTTCTTCTCTGGGTGAGGGGTGTTGGGGTCTGCTCTGGGCCTATCTCGAAGGATGGGACTTGACAGGGAGAGCCTGCAGTGTGAGCATCTGACTGCCCCCCACCCCAACCTCGGCAGGGTCTGTTCCTGGCCTCTGATGTGCAGCAGCTGCAGCAGGCGATCGAGGACTGCAAGCAGGTGATCCTGGAGCTGCCCGAGCAGTCGGAGAAGCAGAAGGATGCCGTGGTGCGGCTCATCCACCTCCGGCTGAAGCTCCAGGAGCTGAAGGTGAGTGTGGGCCCACCCCATCATGGGGCAGCCTGGGGCTGAGGCCAGGCCTGTGGAACCAGGAGGCCCCCACCAGCCTGTGGCTCTCTCTCAGACAGTGGCTCCCTCTCGGCCTGAGGGGCTGAGGTAGAAAGACACTAGATAGGCCCTTCCCCGAACAGAGCCGCGGGAGGCTCCTCTATTTGTCTAGACCCTTTTATTTCCAGGAGCAGAAACCCAACCCTAAGTAGCTTAAACCAAAGAGAAAAATGCATTTGCCTGGTGACTGGAAGACCCTCCGATGTCAGGAGTCTTGTCTCCCAGCTCTGCTTTCTGTGTCTGATCCAGCACGTGGTGGTGGCAGAGACGGTCCCGGCACCGCACCTTGCTCTCCAGCAGCTGAGCTGCCCTGGGTGATCACAGCTGCCTTTTCTGTGGTTATAGCGCAGACTCAGGCCTGAGTTTCACTGGCCAGTCATGGGCCCACCCCTGACCCAATGACAGTGCCTAATTGGCTAGTTCTGGACTATGTGTCCACCCACTGAAGCGAGTGGGTGGGCTGAGTTCCTCCCTGAACATGACCTGGACAAGGAGGGGTGGTGTCCTGAAGGTGATGGGTCCCAAGCCACAGGTACCCCTGATGCAGGCCTTGGGTCTGCGTGTGCTTTGGCCCAGCTGCCCTGGGTCCCCTGTGCTGACTCATGAGTCCCTGGGATTGTGGAAAGTAGAATATTCATTAGGGGACAGGTAAGTTAGTGGTAACAAAAATCCCTAAAACACAGAGGCTTAGAGAGGATGTGTCGGTTTCCTCATGTAAAAATCCCGTAGGTGGTCTCAGGCCCATTTTGCAACTAATGGTGTTGGGGAGAGGTGGGGAGGGCCTCCTTTTCCATTGCCCTGTACCTGACCTGCAGAAAGCGGGAGGGGCAGAGAGGCCACATCCTCCTGCTCACATGCCTGTGGCCCAGAGAGGCCACTTCCCTCCTGCTCACATGCCTGTGGCCCAGAGAGGC